AAAACAGCGGTCCGACTGTCCGGGCTAATCTCGGGAATCGTTGAACCGATTGTTGAACTTTACGTACAGATTGACAACAATGTCAATATTTGAGTTTTTATAAAACTTGGGGATATTTTACTTTAACAGATAGTGAGTGGGTGTTGTGGCCCATAGACATACACATCAAAACCCGGTTAAGAATCAAAATGCAGATGCGTTGTCACCCCTGAGGGCTAAGGTTCTCTACACTCACGATACAAAATACAGCAGCATTAAGCTGCTATTTTACGCTGGTATTCTGTGACAGCGTGTTTCTTCCCCGGTCGAGCCGACGCATTCGTACTACAACCATAATATAGCTGCAGCGTGGCTCTACCACGTATAAAGATTATAAATTATTATTTTCAATTTTTTAAATTCAGTTTAGTTATTAAATATATATTAATTATTAACATATACAAGAGTTCCAACAATGAGAACGAGAACTACATGGTAGGTAAACGAAATCAAGGGAATATAAACAAAGCGGCGCCTATTACAAAATAGCTACAAAGCTAAAATTAATAACGTGCTTCTTTATAACATGAATGCGTTATTTCTTTGTAAGAAAAAGAATGAGAGAAATACCAGTTCATGTGAACAAGCATCATGTGGGAGCTTAGTTTGCTTTTACACGATTTTACGTAGTACAGCCACGCCGCAGCTATATTATAGTTGTAGCACGAATGCGTCGGCTCGACCGGGGAAGAATCACGATCTCACAGAATACCAGCGTAAAATAGTAGCTTAATGCTGTTGTGTTTCGTATGGGGAGTGTAGAGAACTGGAGATTCTTTTCAATAGAATCGAGGCATTTTATTTTATTCCTCAGAGGTGACAACGCATTTGCATTTTGATTCTTAATTGAGGATAAATATGTCTATGGGCCGCAGCATCCGCTTACCATCAGTTGGACTGTGTGCTCGTTTGTCAACTAACGCTATCACAAAAGCTTTTTGCCGCTGAATAACAGTGCTTGCACTGCTGTGGATATAGTAAACCAGTATAAATACAGGGTGTGAGGCATTCCCTCTTAGTTCTCAGAGGTGACAACGCATCTGTCCCTTCCCTTGATCATCCCTTCTTCGTTTGAAGGAGGCAGCAGGACTGCATTAGCCACTTACCACCAGGCGACATGTAAATTCGTTTATCGCTTCAGTGTTTTAAACATATAAACAATCGGCTGGATAGTATTTTTAAATAAAATAAACTAAAAATTATTCTGGTTATATACCACATTTTCTTACTTATACTTCTTCAGGCTTCTGCTAATTTTTCATCGAAGTAATGATGTTAAAAAGCACACCTCCAACTGATAGTAAGTGGATGCTGTTGCTTATAGACAGCGGTAAGATGAAATGGCTTGTTATTTCCGGTTCTCTACACTCACCATGCAAAACACAACAACATTATACTGCTATTTTTTGTTGGTATCTCTGTGTGAGGGTGGTGCTACCCTGATCGAGGTGACACATTCGGACTGCAGCTACAACACGCTGTAATGTGACTTAAAAGCTATCTACCGTTATAGCCTATATAAGCCTCACAGCTGGGAAGAGACCTCCCCTTATTTTTAATAGGATTATTGAGCAATAAGGGCGTCGCACTGCTACAGTGCACGTTGATTCACGTCAAATGTCCTCGAAATATTTATTCCTCAGACATTTTATACGTGGTAGAGCTATGCTGTAGTTATATTATGGTTGTAGCACAAATGGGTCAGCTCGATCGGTGTAAATATCAGCGTAAAATAGTAGCTTAATGCTGATGGGTTTCGTATGTTGAGTGTAGAGATCCTGAGACCCTTTTGACCGGAAACGACATATTTCATCGTAGTCTTCGGGGGTGACAACGCAACTGCATTTTGAATAACGGACTGTGTACTCGTTTGTCAGACTTATTCTTTTAATAAAAATGCAGGTTTCTTCGCGATTTTTTCCTTCACCGCATGAATTGCGATTAATAATTGTATTGGTGTCTGCAGGAGTTAAACCTAGGTTGTTAGCGTACTGTAGAATTTATGGCAAGAGCTTAGTTTCTGAGCTATCTCGGCTTTTAGAATAGTACTTTGAAATAATTCTTCTTGTTCATAATTACCCTTATTCTTTCCGTAGGAGACTCTCACAGTGAAAGTTATATTCAATATCTTGAATTAATTCTCTCGTGTACTTTCCATAAAGAACATACGTTTCAGTGTTTTGTTTTAGAGTAGAAAATTAAATTTGTAAAAAAAAGCAGTTTGTAAAGCATTGTTTCATAAATTATTTAATATATTATTAATGTGTTCACTATCTTCTTCTTCTTCTACCTAGCGTTTATCCCGGTTGCTCATCCCGCCCAGCGCGGGAGAACCCAGGGTCCGCTTTCCTACACTTCCTCCTCCACTTTGCCCGGTCTTCGGCGTCCCTCGCAACTAGCCCATTGGCGCGCATGTCATCCTGCACGACATCAAGCCAACGTTTCTTGGGCCGTCCTCTACTCCTGGTACCAGGTAGGGTCATGTCCAGGCATTTGTTTCCCACGTAGCTTGCCGGTCGTCGTAAGACGTGGCCGTATCAGCGGAGGTGACTTTCCTGGAGCTTGTCAGCAATGTCACGGACATGGAGGCTACCGCGGATGTATGTATTCCGTACATGGTCTTTCCGCGTGACGACACACATCCACCGCAGCATGTTCATCTCCGTGACTTGCAACAACTGCCGGTGTCGCTCTAGCACCGGCCACGCTTCACTGCCGTACGTAAGGACAGGCCTTATGATGGTCTTATAGACCTGTCCCTTCAGCTTGACCGGCATTTTGGGGTCACAAATGTCACCCGTCACCTCGCGCCATTTCGCTGATATACGGGCCTTGATGTCGCGATCGATGTCCCCGGACGCACTAAGCACAGATCCGAGGCACCTGAAGTTGTCCGTGCGCTCGACGGTATCGTCGCCTATACGAAGAGACGTCAGATATGTGCTGTTGCAGGCCATATATTCCGTCTTCGCCACATTTAGCTTCAGCCCACCGTTCTCAAGCGCCTCCCTCCATGCGTGCACGCGTCTGGTGAGCCGTCCTTTGTCCCCATCTACCAGTGCGATATCATCAGCGTAAATAAGCAGCCAGGGCTGCGGTAGTTTCTGTACGCTGGCTGACAGTTCGTCTAATATCACACTGAAGAGATAGGGCTTAAGACGGAGCCCTGATGCACGCCTACGGTTATGGGGAAAGGGGTGGTATCACCAACAGCGGTCCTGACTATTGAATCGGAGTTGCGGTACATATCACATACGATTTCCACGTAGGTCTCTGGTACCAACTTCCACCAGACGCCCAACGCCCACCAGATAATCTCCCTAGGAACACAGTCAAAGGCCTTCTGCAGGTCTAGGAATAAAAAATGCAGAGGCATATTCTTTTCCCTATGCTTCTCTATGAGGATCCTTAGGGCGAATATAGGGTCCATGGTACCGCGTCCTGGTTGGAAAGCGTATTAGGAGTCCGATACTGTACACTCCTGTCGGATCCTGGTGTCAATAATTCGCTCGAAGAGCTTCATGGTGTGTGACGTCACCTTTATAACCGCGGTAATTACCGCAATCCTGAACGGACCCTTTACTCTTGTGGACCGGCGTTATTATACTAAGCCGCCACTGATCGGACATTATTCGGTCGCTCAGGATTCTATTATAAAGGTTAGTAAGAATGCACACACCACGAGCCCCCAGCGCTTTCTGCGCTTCAATTGGCACCTCGTCCGGTCCGACAGCTTTCCGATTCTCCATGTGACGAAGAGATGCGAGGACCTCGTCAGGCGTAATCCGTGGCACGAGTCCATGGTTCGAGAGTTGTTCGGGAGGGTGCACTTCCCGGTGCTGAGTATTCAGCAAAACGTTAACGAAATAAGAGCGCCATCTCTCCTTCACCGCACGATCATCGTACAGGAGCTCGTCATTAGGGCCGTTGACGCTGCAGCAGCGAGTAATATCTTGCGCTGCTTTGGCCCTAGAGCGCGCCCAAGGCCCGTAGGCCGTATGAGCTTGTGTCCCTCAGGAGTTTCCAACTTAGCATATAATGGTTGCAATTGGTCACGCCTGGCTCTGGCTACAGCTTTCTTGGCAGCTCTTTTCGCTGTCTTGAAGAGCGCTTTCTTCTCCTGTAATGAACCCTGGACTGTGGCGTCCCACCACCAGGTCTCCTTGTCAATTTTGCGACCCCCTTTCGCCACGCCGAGGACTTGCTTTGCCGTCTTTGTGATTGCTGTCTGAATGGTTTTCCAGCACTCTTGGACGGACTTGCCTGCTGTGTCGAGACTAATATCCCCAGCGGCAGAGTCAAACTCTGAGTATCTGGTTTGATCCAGCAGCCACCACTTGATTTGACGGCGGCATCGTTCGGATTAATGTGTTCACTATATACCTGATAAATCATATCAAGAAAGAAATAGTCGATTTTTTTTATAATACTTACTGAAATGACAGCCAAAGTTACAGTTTACTTGATGGTAAGCGGCCACTGAAGACTATGAGCACCTAAGGCTAAATTCAAACAAAGGAGGATGCAGATGCGTTGTCGTCCTTGAGGACTAAGATAGACTGCCTTACAGTCTGTAAAGTAACTGGCTCTCTATAACCATCACACATGGGCACAACATCAGTGCTATTTGGTAACAGAAGTAGATCAGATGTTGATATCTACGTAGGAGGAAAGGAAGGCCAATAACCTTATAAAATCTACCATAGAAAAGCTTTCTGATGGCCCAGGGATCTTCCATCGATCAGTGCATGATAAAAATATTTAGTACCTTAGTGACAGAGTTTTACACGGCATTAGGCAAACAGGGATGGACCTTGTCTAGATACATTTGGAGAGTAAAACATTATCAGGATACAAAATTTCATCCAAATCGTGAAAGCTGTTTCCGGGCACCAATTACATCATAATTAATCTTTGCGTATTTGTATATCATACGTTCACTGCTAAAGATAGTTCATAATATGCTAATAACCTCCCCATTGGATCACAGAGGAGGATCACTTATCATGGAAGAGGTATATACCCTCTACAATAATTGCCATAGTGGAACCATTGCCGTTTGCCACACTTGTAAGGGTTGTCATCCACATGTTTTAATTTCTTTTTATTAAGTAATTGTCAGAATCTCCATATACAATTTCAGTTTTCCTCTGTCCCCTCTTTTGACACCCACGGCATGATATGGAGTAGTGGGTTCAATTACGCCACCACTAGATGGCGTTAGCAGTCATAGAGCCGTAGTAAATTTTTTTATTATTGACTTTAACCAAGCACTTTTTGATAGTCAAAAGCTTAGACTATTCAACCCAAATGGTCTAAGGTCAAAAGCTACGCTGTCTTTTCAACAAGTTTCTACTGTGGAGAGACCTTGTGAGAAGAATTGACACGAACTCACAAGTAGACTATTTTTATCTCAACAGTTACAATTCAACCCTATAAAACATATACCTACCTACTATTTGAGAAAAGGTCTAAGAAAATGCATTGTGTCCATCCATTCTTATCTTTTAAATGTTGATATAATTTATATAATTGTCTCATTAATATCCTTTCTTCATAAGAATACATTTCCATATGCACTTTGAATTTAGGTAAAGGCAAATTTTTATTATATATATATTAATCTAGGAATATTACCAAAGACAATAAGAGATATAAAATTTATCTCCATATAAACAAAATTTGCTCGCTGAAAGTATTAAGCTACAAACTTACATTCTGAATTAATTGATATTTTAAGTTAAACGTAGTAATTATATTCTCTTTTGAAATGTTTCGTTAATTATGTTGTAAGCAAAGAGTATATAATTTTATAATCACTAAGTTTTAGATGTAAACTGACATGTATTTGAAATATTAATGTTCCATCTAATAATGTCACGACATTATGATTTATTGTCCGTGTTTGTTGATTTGATTTAATGATTATTGATATGTTTTACGGGTTGTGATGACACTTAGTTACTAGTATGATAATAAATCTCCAATAAAACCTACAACTAGCACAATGAATGACTTATTCCATTATATTCTAAGATTAGTAATATCATTAATTGTTTTCTTTTGTAAATGCGTTTTTTTCTGATTCAGCATGTCCACAGCTGGACATGTCCTTTTATAATAAGGATGCACTATTACCTTACGACTATAAAGCCAATGATTTAAAATACTTAAAAGTTTATACTTATAATAGCGCCGTAGATAAAAGTCTACCGGGTCCATTCGGAATCTAACCATCTAGGGACCAACTCAAAATATACACAAAAAATTTCGTCAAAATCGGTCAGTATTCAAACGCTTGGAAATAACTTTACTTCAGAAAACTCTTCCTTGAAAATATCAAATTGATTTGAAATAATTTTTTATTTGCAAATTGTATGGGGGTTTATTAGCTCTGCATTTGCCGGGGAATAAGAGTATTGTCAATGATCGTGCTTTACCGATGTGCGTGTTTTTTAGTTCAGATATCAATAACATTTTTCACAAGATAGAATTTAGTTACCTATTGTGAACACTAAAATCCCTTTAATAGCAACTTAAAAAAATTCACTGTCATAAATACTATGCCTATGTGTACTTAAATGTTTACATCCCTGAAAGGATCATCGGGTTGTTTTTTACATTCTGTATTTATTTATTTATTCTTTATTGCATTCCTAAGAACAAAATAATACAAAGGGCGGGAATAATGCCTTGAGGCATTCTCTACCAGTCAACCCATGGAGTAGTGAGAATATGACGTAGGTGTAGCAATATACATATATATTAAAAGAAAAAATGATATTTAACTATTACGTAATATGTACATAAATATATACATATTTATATACATGTATAATTGGTACATACACCTAACTATGAATACGTCTTTAGCAATACGTGTAAATGTATATAAAGATGAAAAAGGGGCTCAACTCAAACAAAGGAATTTCGTCATTGACTTTGAAGCAGTGCATATAAGAAGAGTCGAGTGACCGGTGAGGAGCACTGGCGCAGTTCGGCGTAACGTTTAAAAGGCGAGGTGACAGGGCGCGGCGCCGATCGATGTCGCCGTCGTTATTCGGGCGACAGCCTTTGACGACGTCTCAGCCGGCTTTCGTTTCGTCACTTCTTATTTGGGAAATTAAATTACAAGATAAAAAACTAACTAAAAACCCTTTCATAAATGTGCGGGGGCCTGTGCCCAGGAGTGGGACTTATATAGGCTGTAACTTAAACTTTAACTAAAAACTAACTTATTTTATATTAACTTACTGAATCAGTTGGTTAAGGCAGAACGGTTTACGTGGTAGAGTTATGCTGCGGCTATATTATTGTTGCACGAATGGGTCGGATCGACCGGGCAAGGATCACGCACGTTACACGCAAACCGAAAGATTGCACTGATTTGCCAGTGCACAACACGTATCGGTATAAGAACAATACTCGGAGATCGGAGATAGTGGATACAAATATCAATATCGATCCAGTTTTAGGAGTCTGTGTCAAAAAGTTGGACATTGGTCATCAAGGGGACAAACTTAAGATAAAAATGAGAAAACATGTTTTGACTTTCGTTGGCTACTGATTGAGAACGAACAGAAAAAGTATTACTAACTATTGATAATAACAATAATAGTGAAACGATGAATGTAAGCTAATCATGGCACAACCGAAACAGAAAACCGAAAATTTGCTCACATACACCAATAGCTAGGATTGAACTAGGAGAATCGCACCATAGTAGCCTCGTTTTCTAACTACTAGGACATATGTACATAATTTATTTTCTATATATTTATAAAAGTAACATTTCACATAAGTCGCGTTAATAAGGTTGGTGGTTATACCCCCGACACGAGCATGGTAATCAATCACACGGTTCATGCAGCGTATGCTAACAAAATATAAGAGATAGATGTTTAAGTTTTGTTTATATTATCTAGTAATTTCTTATTTAAGAGGTTATAATTATTGTACTTGCAATTTTTTCTCACTTACGGAGTTTTTTTTGCTTACTCAGATTTGACTGTGTATTCTTTATTTGTCCACGAAGCAGGAGCAACCCATCAAGCGCTAGAAGGCACCCGCGCCGAGCTGTACTCCGCGGACGCGTGACGGACGGACGTGGGCACACACACACACTCTCACCAACACTTGCAACTAATATAAGACTTGAAGACATGTATCTACACATAGAAGCCCACCCACACACGTATTCCAGAACAAAACACACGAAACATCGCATGTGCAGTTTTCGCCTTATAAAAGATGGATAATGATTGATCGGCGACATGTGAGAATGATACGGGATGAAATTATTGCTCTATTTGTTTTTAGTTTCGCTCTTGGCTCTGATACTGAAATATTGCTTATAGTAAAAATACCACTCGGCCACGCTGCCAGTTAGGTAATTTGATTCGTTAAATTGTTGTTCTTATCATCTGCATACGACTGTTAAGTTGTGAACATAATGACATAAGGACTTACTTATTACGTGTCGCTCCGATCTTCGGCTTCATTCATGTTGTTGCCATCATCCACCTCACAGACATCTACATCTCAATCAAAAGGCATATGCGTTGTCACTCCTGAGAACTAAGATGGAATTCCTCAATTCCAGTAAAAAGGATATCCGGTTCTTTACACTTAGCATACGAAACACAGGAGCATTAAACTGCTATTTTACCTAAGTATTCTGTGAGAGCGTGGTCCTTCCCCGGCCGAGCCGACCGATTTGCGATACAACTATAATATAGCTGTAGCTTGGCTCTACCACGTAAAGACCATGGCATAGAGAGCAAGAAAGAATATCTCTTAGATTTTGTACTGATTTTTTTATGAATAAAAATAAATCCCGCTTAACGATTTAGCAGAGAGACAGTTTAATAGACTTTGCGTACAAAATGGGTGACGATCGCGTACACAATTCAACTAATGGTAAGTAAGACTTGTCGTAGTCCAAAACATGGACAATCTATCATCGATTAAGAATTAAAATAAACGTGTCGTCATCCCTGAAAACTAAGATAAATTGCCTTTTCCCATTGTCCCGTTTCATTTTTTAGCTTTTTAATACCCGACATTTTGACGTTCTGAGATCGGGAATTAAAGAATTAAAAAAAGTTAAAATTAAAATGAAAGACGATTAAATCCGTAAACTTAGTTTAATTTAACGTGTAATGTTCGCGTAAATATAAGAAATCATTAACAAAAAACTTCTTCGGTTCTCGTCACTCACACGAAAAGCAGCAGCAAAACGTTGCTTTTTCACGGTTGTATGTGTGAGACTGTAGACCTACTCTCGTTAAAAGAAATAAAATTACAGACTATATACGTGCCACCGCTGGGCACAGGTCTCTACAAGAGGGTTTTAGGAAAAGGAAGTGTCCGCCGCGCTGCCACAATGCGTATTGGCAAACTTCGCAAGTATTTGAAATATTATTTTTACCTCAAACATGCCGGTTTCCTCACGATGTTTTCCTTCACCGTTAAGCACGTAGCAAATCAGCACTTAAAAAATCTTAAAATCGCAATAAACAATTTTACTAGTGCCGTCAAGATCAAACCCAGTATCCTCGCGTACTGTGAAATTTACAGAGAGCGCTGACCATCTGAGCTAGCACGGCTCCCACTTACTCTAGTTGTGCCCCAATAACTCTAGTTGAAGCTGCATTACACAATTAAGTCTTAATCCACATTAATTTAAAATACAACAAGTAAGTTATAATTACAGTATAATGACACAACAGAAGCGATACGTAAAGTCTCACCGGTAACGCGTTGACGCCTAAACACGGCGGCGAAAGACACCGCGGAATAATTAAAAACTTCCACGAACCGCGTGTAATGACAATAATGACGTTAACGACACACCGCCGCGCGGCGGCCATTTGTCAGCTGTCATTTGTCAGCCGTTTGTCAGCCACGGGCCGATTGACGCACATCACGCGTAACTACGGATTCTCGAATCAACTCAGCTATATCATAATTCGTAAAACTCAAAAATGGTCAATTACTCAAACGCTACTCAATTTTAAGATGTCCTTAAGTCTCGTGGTGTCACAGTCACTTTGAATCAAAGTGATAGAGACAGCACGAGACGTAACGACATCTTAAAATTGAGTAGCGTTTGAGGGTTTCGGCAAAAGAAACACATTAAATAATTTAAGGATTTTATTTTGTTTTTAACTTATTTAAAATTTTCGACATTTTGAATGCTATGTACGAGCATGGTTCTCATGTATTTGTGTGTTTGACATCCTGATATGTTTAACTTAGCTCAAGTTTTTATTTTTTTTATTTTGGACTTCAAACATTAAACACCTCAAATCGTCTAAAAAGCTAGTTTTATAACTATGAAGACTTTACAAGTAAATACCACCCGTTTTGCACTTGAATGTGTTTTTATACAAAATTATAGTTGCAAGCGATCTTACAGTTCACCTGATGGGAAGTGACCACTACAGGCCAAAGAAACCTGAAACCAACGTCAGACAAGGTTACAGTTGTGTTGTAACCTCTGAGAACTAAGACGGAATGTCTCACAGCCTATAAACACACTGGCTCTCGATATACCCTTCAAAATAATGCAGCAGTGTACGCGAATAGTCCACCTAAACCTTTAAAATGCATATAACACATTTTACACCGTTGTCTTGTGGTGGTGACCATAGAGAATCCACTACCTCATATCATCCCGTGGGTGTCGTAAGAGACGACATGTTGAAACTGAAACATGATATGAGCAGCAATTGATCTTACTGATAACAACTAAAAATATTTTTTTACGTGGTAGAGCCATGCTACAGTTATATTAGTAGTATAGTTGTAGCACAAATGGATCGGCTCCGCCGGGGAAGGACCACGCTCTCACAGAATACCAGCGTGAAATAGTAGCGTGTTTCATATGGTAAGTGTAGAGAACCGGAGACCCTGTTTAATGGTAACGAAGCATTCCCTCTTAGTCCTCATGAGTGACAACGCATCTGCATTTTGATTCGTAATCGAGGATTGATGTAGATGTCTAGGGGCCACAGCAACCACTTACCATAAGGTGGACTGTGTGTTCTTTTGTCACCCTATCTTATAAAAAAAATATTAAAAAAATGCGTTTGCCAACCTGCCATAATAGCAAATATCCAAATATCCTATTGCTAAGAAGCAATCAATGGAGGGTATGGGTTTTGCAACGGCCCTTGATGAGCTTTCAAGAAAATAAAATCATTTAAACAATAACCCACCTAAAGTTTTCCTTGTGATTGCGGTACATATTTAATATAAATATTAAGGTTATATTAAATAAAACATTTCTAAATCTTGCACATATGAGCTAGTAGTATGGAGCGTGAATACAAGCCAGCGGTTGAAAGACGAATTATTAATGATCGTTTGATTCTCACCTCCGCACTAACCCTGTCAGCCGTACTGCCACGTCACCGCCCCGACGCGGCCCTGGAACCACCCTAATAGCTAAAGAAAACGAACCGAAACGCCATTATTTATTACTCAAGCCTTATGCCATATTGCGGTAACCCTACATTATCCGCAACCTAGCTATCAACGTGAATAAAACAATCACATTCTTCCACAAGTTTCTTCGCATTGCTAATAGAGTGATAGATTGTCTCGTGCAAATGTACCACCACGAAGTTTTGCAGCAACTATACACTGACTTGCATACATTATCGATCTTCACGAAACACAGCGGTTAAATAATTCCAATGGAAGCGTATTTTATGTCCCGTTTCTCTTTGACAGTCCCCGAGACATCACCGGTTAACGTCCCTTCACCACGCGATTAGCAAGTTATTTCCACCCTGCGACGTCTCCATCCTTTAATGCTAGTTAATTATTCAGTTTGCTAAATCAAATTCCAACTAAACTACCTAAAATATAATATAATTTCAGATGCTGTCGCCAAGAGACGACGATGAAGACGACAATCATCTCTGCATCAAATGCAACGCGACAATCGTCGGTCTTGATAATTACATTAAACACAGAAAAGAGCGATGTGGCAAAAACAAATCCGAAACTAAAACGGTTTTGCCTATTGACTCTATAGAACCGACCTATAGTCTTGGTGCTGATGTGTTTTTTCAATCACTAGAACTCCAAAGTAGTGTTAAAAAGACATCTCTGTCCAGACTTACACCACCAACTCCAATTTCTAAAGCCGCTTTAGATAGAAAGACTACTTTGACAGTTGCATCCACTTCTAGAGAATTGCCACGAATTAGTCCTATAGAAACTAACCTTAGAGGAGTCGATTGGATCGGTGGTCATAGTATAAGAATAGGTAGCAACGAGGATAATCAAACTAAACTGATCAACGCCGTTGCTAGTATAAGCGGCAATGTCAAGAAGGATTTGACTTCGTCTTCTTATAATATCGGGACTTTCAACGATTTCAGAGGAGACGATGATTCCGATGATTGTGAAGAATCAGAGGACGATGAAGAGGAAGAAAGTGGTCATGGGAGTAAATGGAAACCACCGCCTCATTATACTGGTGGTAAATGGCGTCCGGCATCACCAGAACATGAAGAGTGGGATATTAGAGAGGAACAGGAACATATGGAAGGTAAATGGAAATCTTTAATAATCTCAGAGGGTAATGAGCGTGAGGAGGACTATGATGCTCCGCCACCTGGATACACAAAAGGAAAATGGGTCCCCGGAGCTCCAGAGAAAGCTCAGATTATGCAAACGACTATACAAAGTAAAGGTTCTGTCCAATATTGGTGTGGCCCATGCAACAGGCGACTTGGTTCTCGAGCCATTTATGATAAACATTTAATGTCAAATCTACATATGAGAAAAGTGTTACCGGAGCACGAGTTAGAATTTTCTGGACATCTAGAACCCCTAAGAAATGTAAATGAGAAACGTACAACTCGACCATCGCGGTTCTTAAACAGTAGCATCTATCTTCAACCACAACGAAAGAAGCAGAAAACTGCTGATACAAAATTATCGGTCTTACCTGTAAAAACTAAAAGGAAAAGAAGGCCTCGTTTCCTTCACTGCTCCGTTTGTAAGTCAAGAGTAAGATGTCATTTGATGGGTAAGCATTTAATATCTCATTATCACTTCAGAAAAGCGACGGATACTCAAAGCCCTACTTATCAACAACTGATTCTGGATAATATAGACGTCATAGTACACCAGTCTCCATTTCAATGTAGTCCATGTCGATTTTATACAAACTGGTCATCAACTTTTATGCAGCATTGGTTTTCTGATGAACACAAATCAAAAACTGATTCAATGGAAGGACGATACTGGTGTTCGTTTTGCAAATTTGAATGTGAGTCTCCGGATGAAATGGTTAATCATATATCGGGGCCTGAACACAGCGAAGTGGTTGCGGTTATTAATAGATCGATGCCAATTATTTTGAGAAAGAAGACGATTTTAAAATGCGATACATGTTCAAAAGAATTTCGATATAACATAGAAATTAAACAACATTGCCGAAGAACTGGACACGAGATATGCCACACTGCTACTGATGCCTACCAGGAATTACACAAATGTCAACATTGTAAAGAGAAGTTTAAATCTTCTTTAACGTTGGCTGCCCACTTAAAGTCTAAGCATAAGCAGAGGGCATATTTTTGCCTGGTGTGCTCAAAAACATTCAACTCATCAAGCGAGGCCAAACAACATCGGCAAACTTCAGAACATAGAGTACGTAGGAAGGAAATTTTGATTGAAAAAGGTTTAAGAGTACCTGTCAAGGACTTGAGCAAGAAATGTCCATACTGCATAGATAATGTTCGATTGAAAAATATTATAGAATTAAAGGATCATATTCGAAGAGTCCATCCAAACATTAAGAAAAAGTTAGTATGATTCGTGATTAAATCTAAACAGGTGTAGATAAATCTCATTCATTTGTTACAGCCAACAACAGGCTGCTGCTGGATACAGGCTTCTCACAGAGATTGCTTCAGAGGGAGAATATTTTTTTTTATAGGATAGGGTGACAAACGAGCACACAGTTCACCTGATGGTAAGTGGTTGCTGTGGCCCATAGACATCCACATCTATCCTCGATTACGAATCAAAATGCAGATGATGTCACCCGTGAGGACTAAGATGGAATGCCTCGTTTCCAGTAAAAAAGGTCTCCGGTTCTCTACACTCACCATACGAAATACAGCAGCATTAGGTAAGCTACTATTTCACGCTGGTATTCTGTGAGAGCGTGGTCCCTCCCCGGTCGAGCCGACCCATTCGTGCCACAACTATACTTCTAATATAACTGCAGCATGGCTCTACCACGTACAAAAATGAGAACTCTCAGAAATGAGGGGAGACCTGTGCCCAGCAGTGGGACGTATATAGGCTGTAACTTTACTTATTTTTACTTTACACTTGGCAGCCGGGTCGGAAGTCGCAGTTTTTATAATTTTGATTTGTTATGTTTTTGTCAGGAAGATGCTGCTGCCCATCTCCTGTTTCAGATTCCTCTTATGACGCCCATAGGAAAATATGGGTAGTAGATTGCCTTTATTTAGATTTAAGATTATTATAACTTATAAACTTTGGTAACGTCCTTACAAAAATAGCTTAATTTCAGATGTTCAAAATGCGGCATGTCGTTCATCTTGTCTCAAGAAGTCACTCGACATATCAGATCCAAGGCCTGCCAATATCAAAACGCCAGCTCCTTGAGCGCTCCCATACTCTGGAATTGTAGTCAATGTCTCTTCACTACTGATTCTCAAGCCGAGTGCTTTTTCCATGAAGTTCTACACTCTCCCTCTATCACTAAGGTTACGAGGAGTGAAACAGAGAAAGTGATTGAGAAATATGATTGTCCACTTTGCCCCAAGAGTTTTACCAAAGCTTCCTTGCGACACCACTTGAAACAGCATACATTCGAGAGGCCCTTCGTGTGTAACGTATGCGGAGCTAATTTTACAAGACAAAGCAGTCTAACGAATCACTCGAAAAGTGAACATACGAATAACTCTGAAACAAAAATCCCAGAATCTTCATCAAAAGATGCAACAGCTGATACATTGATGACAGAATTCAAATGTAGTAATTGCAAGAAGAAGTTCACAAATAAGTAAGTTACTTTTATATCTGATAAATTACGCCCCGCTTAGCGTATTAGTGGTGTATAAAAAAATTAACAACGTATTTCTAGATAAGTAACAACATATGAGGCAAAGCCATGCAGCAGCTATATTACGGTTGTAGCAGAAATGGGTTGGCTCGATCAGCGAAAGACCACGCTCTCACAGAATACCAGCGTAAAATAGCAGATGGATGCTGCTGAGTTACGTATCGTAAGTATAGAGAACCGGAGATCCTTTTTCCTTGGAACGAGACATTTTATCTTTATCTCCAAAGGTGACCACTGCATCCACTTATCATCAGGTGCACTGTACGCTCATTTGTCACCCGCATTCTATAAAAAAGAAAAACAAATAAACCCACAGTTCACTCCATGGAAAGTGACAGTCCATAGACACCTGCAATCATCTTCAAACAAAGACGTCTAAATGCGTTGTCACTCCTGAGAACTAAGATGGAATGCCTGTTACGAGGCATTCCAGTATAATCTTACTGGCTCTTTAAACCCTTCAGCCGTGGTAGCTCAGGGGATTAGTAAATTTCAAGTAGGCGAGCAACCCATGTTCGATTCCCGCCGGCACGAATGAATATGTTAATTGCAATTTTAAGTGCTGACTCACCACGTGCTCGGCGTTGAAGGAAAGTATCTTGAAGAAAGTTGCATGTCTGAGAAAATAAAAAAAAATTCGTTGACGTGAAGTTTGCCAACACGAATTGGGATAGCGCGGCGGGCACTTCCTTGCCCTAAAACCCTTTCAGAAGTGAAAGGAGGCCTGTGCCCAACTGTGGGACGTATATAGGCTGTAACTTTCTGAACTCTTCAGAACGTAACACAGCAGTGCCAGCGTAGCAGCACAAGTAGTTAAGAGAATGGTACGTAGCCAGACGGACCTTTAGGCAGAAACGGAGTCCTTCCAGCTAAAATAGAATATAACTCATTGATGAAGAATTAAATTTTTCTTATTTTAGAGAGACTTATGGCATATAGCAGTGAAAGCCGTTTCAAAGCTTATATAATGATGATAAAGATGATTATAAAGGTTATAATGTTTAAAAACAAAAAGAGCCACGTTGCAGCTATATTATGGTTGTAGCACGAATGGGTCGGCTCGACCGGGGAAGGACCACGCTCTCACAAAATACCAGCGTGAAATAGCAGCTGAATGTTATGAGTTTAGGTGTACCGTTTTACAATGGTGATGGAGTGACAATGAATCGACATTTTGATCTATACTAATGAATAAATTTAGGTGACGATGGGCCCTAGCATCCACTTACAATCAGATGAACTGCATGCATAATTGTTACCCTTATTCTATAAAAGTTTGGTTTATTTAAATATCTTTAAATTCAGCTTTTCATACAAAATTGTAGTGTCAAACGCACTTAATGTAACCTCATGACGTGATGGTAAGTGGTTACTGTAGCCCATGAGCACCTGCAGTCATCTCAAACACAGCAGCGTAGAAAGCATTGACATCCTTGTAATTATACTAGCTCTCTATACATTTCATACCGGAACATGGCAGGGCGGGCAGGTCACAGCAGGGCGGAAACTACCTTGACGGACGCCCAGGCGGAAAATAGTTCCATCCTACCATCTAACGTAAATATAGCCGTTGTCCAACCTCGTAAAATAATACAATTATGTTTTTCTCGTAAACTGACACAAATGAAACCTTTAAAAGTGCTTTTATTGTATACACAAATATGTTACAATAAAAATATAAAGGTAATTGTCTAATTATGTTAAATATTAAAAGTTGCTTTTCTGAGAAACCTGAAATAATATAAAGTTTAAAGAGCCACAAACTTTTTTAAAAATATAGTAGTATGACTTCAAAAATCTCTAAGCTTACCTATTAAAAAAGCGTGAGTTCTGGATAATATACGTAATATATCTACTTATCAATTCACTTTATATTGCTGTATTTGGAAAAAATAAAAAGTTTTTGATCTCATTAATATCTTCCTGAACGTGAACTGAATGAAATATAGTTAAAAGTAAATAATAAACGAATATCTTATGTCATAATGAAATTTATCGCTTGGATTCAATCCAGTACTCGTAAGTTTACTCACGCGAGTTTAAATTTTCAGTAACCGCTTCCAATATAGAGAGGGAAAATAAGTTTTCTTATTTACAGTTACTGTTCGATAATCAAATATAAGTTTTATGTTTCAGCCAACATTTTATGATATAATATTAGACGAAACCGAAATGAAACGAATTAATGATTAAATTTTTAAAGTTAGTAAATCACCTTACATAATTTCTTAAAATGCTAAGATATAATATATAAAGGAATTAAAGGGCCAGCTTCGGAAGTTTAAATTATTTGGAAACAAAATATCTTCAATAAAATCTTGTTGGTTTCAGAGAGCGTGGCTCTGTCACATATCGGTCGAAGCCTACCTATTCGTGGTGGAGCTCTTTTACTCTGATGCGATAATTCTGATCCGTTTATATTAGTTACTCTAGTTCCCCATTTTGAAGTCTACCACGCAGAGAAACTTCAAGCTTAGCCCAATGCATAGATCGCTGAGCGATTCCATATGCCTTTATTGACGACACGCACTGGTTGTACACTTCTGTTTTCAAGTTTTAAAATAAAAGTGACGAAAAGTTGTGTAGTAATCTTCAGAAAAATACCTTTTTTCTCGCTACGGTTAAGATTCCAACAGATGTTAATTCTGCAATCAATCAATGCATGCAATAAAGTATGCATAAGTGGTTATATATATATATTTTATATATTATATTAATCCACGTGCAGACAGTAATTTCAGTCTTATGATACGATGGTTGTGAACACATAGAATAAGAGTGATAAGCATAATTGCAAAGGATACCGTAGACGGCAGTTTACCGACCAAATTGGCGATATATTGAACAAAGAGCCGAATTAAAAATACACGTAGCCGACTATATGTATGGGTTGATATATACATATTAGATCTGAAAGATGCAAAGGTGTTGTGTCAGGATCATGTCAAATGGAAGTCTGTCGTCTTTACCTACCCCTCTCCCAGCAAGGCATGAGCGTTTATTCATGTTTCAAGTTATGTAAATACCTAGGAATTCATGCCAATTGTGTAGAACAATCTCGCTAAGAAAATATAATTATTGAGCAAGGTGACAATATCAAGATGTCAAGTTAATCAATAAAAATATGTATTCTGTTACTCAAATAATATGAGCTTTTCACACGCTAGCCGTTATTCCATCAATACTCTTTAAATTTAAAAGTTCAGTCATATCAAGGGAGTGGCGTGCATAGTTTGACCAAAATAAACGCCGCATCAGTGCTAAGCCGCGTCAGAGTCAATTGAGATGAACGACAAGTACGCGGCGGATGCGTGCGTGTCTCACGTCACACAACTCCTTCACAAATATCGGGAAACATTCATAATTTGACGCGCGCGCTTTGATAGTGCACCGGCGCGACATTTTCTCGCCGCCCGCGATGTTGCCAGCGCTGACGTTTTTATACCAAACTGCAATAAATTTTCCCCCGGATGCCTCGTATTTCGAGCGCTGGATCAAAATATTAGTGGGTACGAAAGAGATGGCGACATTTAAATTTTATTGTACGCACGTGTTGCGTTGTAGAGCTTACAGGAAAGCTTGATGTGATTTGACGCTGCCAAATTGGCGGTTATTTATGCGGTTTGTCAGCCCCAAGCAAACGTATTTATATAACATCGTTTCAAATAACTTTGCAGTAAGGGTTCATTCGAGTTAACCATTACCCCCATAACTTTTGTTCTTAAACTCATATTGCATGTATACCAGATATTATAGATAACCCTACACATCATCGCGGAATTTTTGATGCTATAAGTTAAATTAAAATGTAACCAAACCTAACCGTGTAGAGGCGGTGAGATGGTATCAAACCAGGATATAAGCCGCAGCGACTTCCTAAAACTAACTGGAAAGTAAAAAAAAACTGCGAAGTGCTGCCTTCCCGCCTGCCAAGCAAGTAACCATCTTTCCCATCTCTGCACGGAGAAGAGGACTCACTGGCCCATGCCGCAAAGGACGAAGCAAATCTGGGCTCTCTCTTTGCATCCAAATCGACTCTTGATGACGGGGGGAACACATCGCCGACCATCCCGCGGTGTGAGTGCTCCATGCAGGATTTGCTGTTCACCCAGCGCTCGGTGCGCAGAGCACTCCTCTCTCTGGACGTTAGCAAGTCGAGTGGGCCTGATGGCATCCCTCTTATTGTGTTGAAGACGTGTGCTCCGGAGTTGGCACTGGTTTTAACGTATCTTTTCCGGTACTACACTCACTGGCACCCGATCCCTAAAAAAGTCAACCGCTCAGATCCGTCTAACTACAGGGGGTTACGTCAGGGTCGCTCAGCTGGTGATCTTTTGGGTTACCTAACTCATAGATGGGTGGAGGCAATAGAGTCCAAGGTTGGCCGTCAGTTTAGACATAGCGAAGACCTTCGATCGGGTTTAGTACAAAGCGCTTCTAACTCTTCCTTTCTATGGGCTTCCCGAGAAATTGTGCAATTGGATCACCAGTTTTCTTGCATATCGGGGCATCAAGATCGTAGTATACGGTGCATGCTCCGATTACAAGAAATTAATGCTGGTGTTCCACAAGGCTGCGTGCTATCACAAACGCTGTAGTAGTAAGTTAGTACCAGTTCTGGCTCACTGATTCAGAAGTGGTACAACGTTCGTCGAGACTCACGATGCTAAAAAAATTTTGGCATGCTCTGATCACGAATCTGCGGTCCGTTTTTGCGTGGGATGCACGGTTCCGGAGATGTGCACATCAATTAACTCTTATCTAATTGATATCCGGTGAGGGCCTCCACCGTCATTAGCGCCCCATTGTTATTTATCTATTGTTCATTGAATACCGTCATTGTCTATTCGTGCGTCGGATTATCAGTGATATTATATTATACTCCCTTGTTCCTAACTGCAACGGTAATCTGAATCATCAATAAAATACATTACCTAATT